ATAGTAGCTCCAAATTCATCATATTGTCCACTATTACCAGGAAATCTCCCTTTTGGTCGAAAGGGCTACTGTTCCACGACCTGATGCAACCGACTTTTGCTATTTAATAAACACAAAGTTTCAATAATTATTTATTACAACAAACCATATAAATATTTACGGCTAAATCTTGTGGCCAAACTGTGTGCGGCAGTAACTATCACTTTAGGGTAGGTATCATTCTGTGTGAACTCATATCCCTTTCCAAATGAGCACATTATCATAAAGCCTATGTCGTGAGAGTCTGTCTTAAACTGGTCGTCAAACACCCCATCCGTGGCTTTAATCGCTAATTGTTTCCACTCATCACTCTTTGTATAGTTATATAAATACCAGAGAACTCCAGGATAAAAGCCGGCCGTCCACTGGCCCTTAACACCGGGTGTTGTATTCCATTTGGCAGATATGGGACTACCTTCAGACGGATACTGTATTCCGATTTTAAGAGTTGTGTCTAATTTAGTGTATTGTTTGACAGAGTAATCAATTATTTGTTTTCTGTCTAAACCGCATACACATTGGGTTACAATTAATACAATAATCGCAAAATAAAATGACATTTTTCTAAACCCTTAACTGTAAATCAATCACTGAATATACAATAAAATACAATGGATTGATGTTAGCAAATATTTATAGTAATCAAGTTGAACTCAATTCTCGAGTTTTATAATGTGCTGAGAGTATGGTTAACAGAAAATTTAGCATTTCAAAATGTGTGTAAATATAAAATAATTTGTATTAATTTTAGTTAGTTATCAGTGAATCAGATGTTGTTTTCCCAAGAGTACACTTACTTGTTATAATAGTATGAAAAGTATGCTTGTACCAATTCCAATGCCAATTGCCAATTCTTACATTTAGTTTTATCATTTTCTTATCATTTATACATGTATTAAATATTATGAATCTAATTTTATATTATATAATAAATTCGTTAAATTAAATAGTTCCTGTATAAAAATTATTATTAAAATATAAATAGTCTGTTGGAAAGCTATTTATATTTTATGCCTGGATTTTATTTTATACCCAAAACTTTGTAAATCAATAAATTGTGTTGTATTGATACTTTACTGAGTAGAATTATGTTACAAGATGTTGAACATATTTTTCAATTTTAATGATTGGATTTTATGTTATCTATTTATTACTGTATATGAGAATCTTTTTTTAAAACTAATAATCTTAATCGAAACGGATTTAGACATATTGTATAACGTTACTGTATATTGATAACATGATATCTATTCATGTTTGTCATCGAAACAAATAATTCTTTATTAAGGTTGGCATTTTGAGTGAAACTTATTTTTCGTTAAATATTTCACTTTTAGGTGTTTATTTTTAATGTTAAAGCATTGGATTTACATATCAATAAATTCAATATCAGAATCAGAGTCATTTTCCTGAATATCAAGAGCACTATTACTAATATAAGAGTCATTAACAATTTTAATTCAGTTTAATCAACAATTCAATGCTTTTGTTTGAAAGGAAATCAATAATAAATTACAGAAAAGTAAACAATTTTATTGAAATTGAAATTTATTGAAATTTATTTTCAAGTGAAATATTTCAGTGAAATATTTCGAAATACTGTATTTCAGTTAAATTTATGAAATATTTCAACCGTATTCTTTATAAATACAAATATTGATTTATATACAATATGTACAGTAATAACAAGTTCTACAAAAACACCATTCAATCACTAATTGAATGTCAATCTATTTATCATAAATATACTGCAATTCTATTTCAATACAAATACTCTCGGAAGACAAAAAAAATAATATTACATTTCAGTAATGTATTGGTTTGGGTCATCAATAGACTGGCATAAGAATTATTATAACATAAAATCGACTGCTTTATTTCTTATTATAATAATTAACTCAAGATCAATTTCGTGATCGAGACCTGTACATTTTCATTATATTGCTTGATTTAAACTTTAAAGTTTGAAAGTAAAATCATTTAAAAAATATTTCCTATCTTACTCGTTAGAATTATGACATAATACTTTGTAGTAAATGTCTTGAAAACTTTAATCTTTATTTTTTTCAATGTTCAAATATGTATTTTTTAAATCGATTAATTTTTATCAAAAATGGATTTGGAAAAAGTTATAAAAGTGCAAATGGATTTCCATTATGTTTGTCATAGAATTTTCCATAAAATTTAATTATAAAATTTATAATATAAATACAAATATTTATTTATATTTTATAATAATAGCTGTCAGGTATTGGTAAACGATGGCATATATAGAATGTACACATTACTAAAAATCAATTATAACTAATAATAGGAATCTATACTATTATTGGCTTTGTTGAGATAATTAGTATAAAAGTGTTATTTGAAGCACGAGTGCGTTTATACTGTATTACTATTACTGTACAAGTATTAAGTTATATCTTTCCAAATACACTCTCAAATGAATTTTCCTTTAGCTCCGAGTTATAATTGAATGAATCAAATCATAGAAACTAAAACAACTTTCTATATCAAATAACATGAATTTATGTTATATTTTACTGTATTATAAATCAGATTACTGTATTATAAAACTTTGTTATATAAATCAGATATTGTTTTCGATTATTATCTTACAAATCATATGAAATATTACTTTGCATACGAGAGATTAGAAACAAGCAATTAATTTATTTTGAAACTTTCACAGACTTGTTAATAGTATTGAACTTATATCATATAATACGACAGAAAAAGACCTCTAAAAGTCTTATGGTATTGAGTTTTGGTGTGAATGTATTGCATGATAAGAAACATACTGTATACTGTATTCTAAATAAACTACCAGTCCTACCAGTCCCCTATGACAACAGGCCCTGAGCCCCAAACTACAGCATATCTGCGAGAGTGGTATAAAAGTTGTTTAGTTTAGTTTGAGTTCATATTCCTGTTACCACTCATTGCAGGCTTTGTTTGTAAATATTAGATACCATTCAATGAACTCTCAATGAGTGCCACAAATTGCAATTCATTTTTCAGTTTTCACTGCAATTCAAACATTGAATTAACAAAAATTTTGTTACAATTATGTATTGAGTGAATATTGAGGTTAAAATAGTGACAACGAAAATGTAATTATAGTTAAACATGAAAATGTCTCTAAATATATTTTGATTATAAGTTTTTGCCCTAATATGTGATTACCATAAAACATATCATGCACATTTCTCTCGACAGTGTTTGTCACCACAAATTGTGTCCATTCTTACAGTTTGAGCGTAAATAATGTGAATATCGTATGAATACTTCAGTAAAATTTGTAATAAATATCTAAATTAAGTGTCAATAAAGTGATGGCGAAGAGTGAGATAGAAGTGAGTTATAGACTCAGGAATAGTGAGACTAACCGTAGGAATGGTATGGAAATGAATGCAGTGAACGGGAAATGTGTGCAAAATTGGGACAAATATATGTATACGTTATGCATATTCCTCAATAACCTGGCGTTTGGTATGACATGCAGTATATTCTACCCCACGATGGTTGACATGAAGTACATCTTCGACACCTCCATGAAAGACATATCAGTGAGCAATACATTCGGTTCCATCGGTTACCTCTTGGGCTCGCTCTTCGGCTTTCTATACAAACGCATTAACAGACAGATGACGACAATTGTCTTACTCTTAGCCATAAGCATATCAATAGCGGTGATGCCGTTCGCACCGACCCTATGGTCGTTGTATTTGTGCTCATTTGTGACACTCCTGGGCGGCGGCGCCTGGAATGCGGCCCACAATGTGTGGCTCATAGAGATGTGGACGCATACCAGTGCTCCCGTCCTCCAGTTCTCGCAGTTCATGTACGGCTTGGGATGCATTCTGTCGCCCCTACTCGTCAAACCATACCTGACCGGCGAACTGCCCACCAATCACACAGTCATTCCCAACACCACTATCACTACAACTGTTCCCACGATCACCACCACTGATATTAACCATTCCATTGATAGGCGAGCGCTGCTTAAGACACCGTTCATTACCGACGGCTTAATACAGGCTTTCATACCAATAGTCCTTTTGATTATGTTTTTTGTCAAAAGATATGAGTTTTCGAAACCAATTCTTCAGCCAAAGGAGTCTTCGGCTGAATACGGGGTCGAGAACTTCGATGTCTACGGAACTAATGGTCATTCAGAGGAGTCCAATGTCATCGAGATATCCGATAGCTATCACCGCGACAGACGTCTCAATGCAGTATTAATTGCAATATTTTTAGCCAATTATACGGCACTAGAGTTGGCGCACTTTGGCTACAGTTCCACATACTATCAGTTCATAGGACTGCGTTTAAGTGCCTCAGAATCGGCCGAAATATTCTCCATAATGGCCTCCAGTTTTACGATCGGTCGGTGTGTCAGTGCCTTCATCGCCATCCGACTCAAGCCAAAAGTGATGATAAGCTACCACTTCATTGTGATCGGTGTCGCCCTAACGGTGCTATACTTCGGCCAAACCAGCGAACGGCTCATTTGGTTCGGGAATGTCATCATTGGGTTCGGCTTTTCGGCGGTCTTTCCGGCGATCTTTGCCTTCGCCGAGCAGTACATCAAAGTTAACGACAAGATATCAACGGTTCTCGTCTTCTCGTCCGCCAGTCTCGCACTCTTCACGCCATTCATTTTGGGGCCATTCCTCGAGAACAATGCGTTCATACTTATAGAGTATGAGATTGTCTTCTTCACCGCCAGTGTCCTCCTGTTTGTCGTCATTTTGTTTGTCATAAAACCCATTCATAGATAATATCAACAGTTTTTTGGTTGATTAGGACTTTTATGCCACGAATAGTGAATTAATTGAACAAAATTTTATATTTAAAGAGTTTTTTATGTCAATTATTTTTGGATTGTTTTATTTATAGTAGTTTTATATAAATATCAATTAATGTCAATTAATTGACAAATATTTTCGATGTTTTTATAAAAAAAATATTTATATTTAAAAAGTTTTTGAACGTAAGAATTATATTTTCACTTATAATTCTGATACTCAATAATGTGTACAATTATAAGTTGGATATTTGTACTGTATACCAAATATTACAAATAAAAGTATTAATATATAAATCAGTCTTTTGATAAAATTCTGTGAAAACATCCATGATACTTTGTAAAATCTAATAGAGCTTTAAAAGTACCGGAATTTATTCTAGCAATTTATTTTATGTGTGTATTTCCTTGTTTAATGCTTAATTGACAATTGAATACTGTTTCTATGGCTAAAAATTAGTTCATCCGGGATATTCATAATCATAATTGACTTGAATCAATGCAAAAAATTAAACTATACAATGATAATTGCAATTTGTTATGCAAATAAATTTTAATTTTTAGATTTACAATTTAATTATTTAGGATAAGTCATCGGATTAAATTTTTGTTGCATAATATTCTTAATACAATTAAAAATTAAATTTAAATTTACTTAGACAAAATAATGACAAGTACAGTATTTAGTAACAAAATATATTAATAATACTCAAAATTTAAAAAGTCTCAAATTAGATGTCAAATTCATTTGTCAACATTTTCTGTTTGAATGCATACGAAATGCCCACTGTTTTGGGGATAGTATTACATTCAATGCAATGAAGTGAATGGGAAGCACTGCAAACATTCCCAATGTATACGTTTTGGGAGTATTTTCATGAGTTAGTGAAACATGTGTTGAAAATGTAAATAAAAATAAACATTTATTTCAAAAAAGTTTTATTTAATTGTTTTTATATTACAATGAATTCTGTGAAGATATGGACCAATTGGGTGACCACTAAGGAGATCCAGTCATCACTTTTTGTCAAATATATCTGTGGCGACAGTTCCGGCGGTGATAGTGTCGGTGGTATGTATGGATCACTCAAAATGTCTTTGGTTTAACTGATTGTTTGATGCAATGAACAGATGAAGACATTGAGTCCCTATTAGAAAGCCATGAGAATTGTGTCCAACTGTTAC